AATAATAATAATAATAATCATAATACTGTTAGATCTAGAGGGAGTTTAGGAGACTTTTGGTCTCCCATATTTGGTCTAGGTCACTGAAATCTCCCTTTTTTAGCTTTTGGTCTCTCATATTTAGTCATTAAGTCTCCCGTGTTTAGTAAGNCTGGTCTCTTAAAGTCATTTCTAGATCTAACACTGTCAATATTAATGATACTCATAATGTAGGTATCATGGAGCACCTGGAGTCCTCCGCTGGGGTCCTGAAAGAGTAAAGTTATTGATCCATAGTCCACGTGCTCTCCGCACCTCAACTGGCCAGGTTTAACGGCAGCTGGTGAAGGAAGAGGAGGATAGTACAGAACACGTGCCGTCGTGTAACTAGGTATTGTAGTATTGGATAGGTTTTGATGATTTTTGACGAAGAATTGTGGATCCTAGAAAAATGATAGTAAATTTAAGAATTTGGAAAAAAAATTAATTTTGATCTGAGCTATAACTTTCTACCCAAAATAAGTACATATACATGTATCAAAAAATGTTATGAAATTTAGAATTCTCATCTTTTCATTTTTGCAAAATTTGGCCCGAGACATAGTAAAGGGACTTTTGTCCCATTTTTGAGCAACTTTAAAAATTTGTAAAAAAATCTAATTTTGCTCAAAACAGCTAAAACATTCTACATTTAAACATTCTACTGTCATTCAATGATGTTTGATAGATCGTACTGTATACCTGGAGCTTTAAAGCATGACCCATCACTTCTAGTATCTTCAGTGCTAGTGTCCTACTAGTGCCTAATATTTCAGTCATTACCGGTTTAAAATCAGACACTTCATCATCTGGATACACCTATAACAATAATATTAATTAATAATATTTATCAGAAACTGAGCCACATAAGAATCAATCAAAAATTGTACATATTAGTAGTAACCAGGGGCGTATCTAGGAATTAGGGAAGGGGGGTGCTAAGGGTGTGTGAAGCGCGCCGTGATTTTGGCCACACCCACTTTTACGGCGGTAAAACGGCCTTTTCCTGCATTTTCGTCAATTACGGATGGGGCCAAGATCATTTCAAGCATACTGCTATGTTACTGGTACTTCTGATTGCTCCTTAAAGAACTGGAAACTGCTGAAATCATGATCAGGGGGCTAGATAACTTTGTTAAGAGGCTTGGTAGTGATGCAAGAGTCCAGGACTTCAGTAATTTTTTCTGAGCCCAGCCCTGAGGGGGGTGCTCAAGCCCCCTCAGCCCCCCCCCTAAATACGCCTCTGGTAACCATTATTTTACTGCCTGGGATACATGAGTGTTAATACTAAATGCATTATTATACTCCTCTAAACACAATACACACAAGCATAAATGCCAAAATGCATCACTTATTCAACTACTAAAAACTCACACATTCAGTTGGTGAGCAAATATTAAAAGCTTCTTTTAAGTCACCTGGTTTCGTTGGATCAGTACTAAATAAATAAGTATTATAGCTATTTAAATTAAAATGTCCACAGCATACTCTTCCTGCTCCATCTCTACGTAGCCATTGTTTCCTGAAGTGTTTGTTCGTGAGTACTTCTTCTTTGATTCATGTGGCAACTCAAAGAACTTCTTAGCAACAGAAAATGCCTCATCAACCTACAAAAAGAACATTATTATTATTATTATTATCAATTTAGTGAAGTTCAGTACCATACATAATGAAACAACAATATAAGACAAACTAGTCATGATTAGCTAGTACTGTAGATGAACTACACAAAGGGAAAACAAACGAAAAACGCATGATTAAAACTAATGTATTACCAGAGGTCTTCTTATGCCATGATTAGTTATGAATACAAATCCAACAGTAGTGAATGCCGAGTGTATTTCTTGTACCTGAGGACAGGTACTTACATCAAGACATGATAAAACATCTTTGAAATCAACGACAGGAACCGCCATACTGTTTCCTGCAAATTGAGCCACACCTTCTAGTTTTGAAACATCAAAACAAAAACTAATCTATATAGATCTACCACAGGCACAAACAATTATTAATGNGGGCAAATATTAGCAGATCTGATGCTGTAATCAGAAAAGAGAAATGCAGAATTACTTTCTGCCCATTAATTTTTTTGTCTCTGCAAATGTCTATCCGTGTA